CAAACAAACATTTAAAATTTTATCTTATAATATGAGACCAAACATTAAAAAGGACTCCATATTCACACAAGTTTTCCTGAAATTAAAACCTTATTTTTGCTGCAATTATCTTTTATTTTCACCCTCTTGGCAGCATCTAGAAGCCCAACAGACGACAAGCAAAATCTTTTCATCTAATTCTTCAGGCCATGGTTTCTAAATGTTCCCGGAAAACGCTTAACATGTCAGAGAAGGTGACAATTCCGACCAAGCTATAATCTTCTTCTATCACCCAAACGTAGTTGACCCTGTGTGCAATTGCCTGAATCATCACCGCAACCAAGGAGCTCTTGGGGTGGCAAACTATGGCCTCAGCCCGCCGGACCATCCTGGCGGAGTAACTCATTGACCTACTATACCTTCCTGCTCGGGGCGACGGTGAAACTCGAGCAGTCACGGACTCTTCATCCGAGGATGAGGAGGAGAAAGTGGTGGAAGAGAGGGAGTAGTTGGTGAAGTGGTTCAGCATTCCATTTAAGTTTCTTTCCTTCAGCTTCACGGTGACAACGCGGACGAGGTCTTCCGGGGGCCCACCGCAATCAATATAGGCCATGAGGTCCCCGGCGGAGAGGGTGGTAAGGGCGGCTGCCACCGTCTCGTCACAGCAGGAGAGGGTGTAGGGGGAGATCTCGCCGATCAAAGTCCCGTCGGAATCAACCACGGCGACGGAGGTCTGTTCGGCGAGGGAGCGGGAGATTGCAGGTACGGCAGCGGAAGCAGGGGAGTGGTAGTCGATGGTGATGACGTCGGTGCTGATAATGCCAAGAGACTCGATGGAGAGGGCCGGGATTGGAGAGAAGAGGCCGATTGAACTGAGTAGGAACCGGATTACGTCTTCTTGGGTTATCCAGCAAAATTCACAGCCTCCGTGAATGGTGGTGGTTGAGGACGGCTTCTGGTACTGCTTCCGCCGGCTACCCAGCCTGGATTTTATCGGAACCACGAGATTTTGTGCTCCTTTGAGTATTAAATCAATTGCTTCCAACAAACTGAGAAAACCCAGAAACGGAGATTAATTGGAGATCCATTGAATTGTAAAAACAGAGGATTCATCCTCTAAAATTTTGAGGGGGAAAGCTTCGAACTTGAATCCCCAAATGAAACTCTTAATCCAAATAGAAAATTAAAACTGGAAAATCAGCTAAAACCCAGATAGAAACAGAGCATCGGGAGAGGGTAAAAGACCCAGAAAAGAATAAGAAAATTGGGAAGATCAAATCGAAAGAATCCAAAAAATCTCTATTATCTTTACCTGCAGGACGGTTCGACGTGCTTGACAAGGCCAGGAATCTCCGGTAGGAGAACAGAGACCGGCGCTTTCAGAGCGGCAGAGGGTGATTTGAGATTTTCTTCTTTACAAAGGTAACAAATCACATCCACCATAGAAATTTTGCCGATGCATTGACAGTCATCGTCGTCGGCGGAGGTGGCGGTGCGGGAGCCAAAGCCGGCCTTGTGATTGCAACCCCAAACACTTACAGAGTTGTCGTCGGAGTTTCTCAGCACCTCAAGTGCATCTGCGACGGTTGCGGTGACGGAGAGGGACCTCAACGCGGGCTTGCCGAGACAGAGGTCAGATACATCACGTGCCAACAAGCTCACTGCCATGCAAAAACTAGGGGAAATGGGGAAGCAGTAGTTGTGAGCGAGGAAGGGCTAGCTGTTCCTATCCGCTCTTCTCTAGAGATGGAGGTGGCGGTGG